ACATTGGTGGAGGACCCTAAGACTTAAAGTCCTTAACACTCGAATTATAAATTGGTGGAGGACCCTGTGACTTAAAGTCCTTAACACTCGAATTATACATTGGTGGAGGACCTTAGGACTTAAAGTCCTTAACACTTGAATTATAAATTGGTGGAGGACCCTAGGATTTAAAGTCTTTAACACTTGAATTATACATTGGTGGAGGACCCTAGGACTTAAAGTCCTTAACACTCGAATTATAAATTGGTGGAGGGCCCTAGGACTAAAAGTCATTAACACTCGGATTATAAATTGGTGGAGGACCCTAGGACTAAAAGTCCTTAACACTCATATTATAAATTGGTAGAGTACCCAAGGATTATGTTATCCTCAAAACTCATAGATTATGATATTGAAATGTGGACAAGGAGGAGCCCTATACACTCATAGGCATTGATCTAACAATCGGGCTAGGCGCCGCCTAGTCGCTAGGCGGTGGCCAGGCGCCCCGAATTTGGTGTAATCGGTCGAAAAAATCGGCCGGGTGCCTAGGCGGGCTAGGCGGCCGACTAGGCGGCTAGGCGGGCGCCTAGGTGGGCTAGGCGGTCTGAATTAAATTTTTTCCTGAGCCAACTTTCCCCCCCGTTTTGACTTAAAACAACGTTTGATCAATAAGTATTCTATTCCTATATGGTTTAGTTTCATATTACTATGATAATAAAATAATTTTGAAATATTTAAAAAAAATAGAATATATATGTGCATTTTTAGAGACAAAAAATATAAATCTCTACATTCATCTATTAATTATTTTATTATTTATAATTTTTCTACAAAAACCATAATGTATAATGATTATATGAGCTATTCCTATTGTCAAAATATTATAAAATTTTTGGTAATATATTTAAAATTCAATGAAAATAAAAATAAAACAAAGAAATACAAGGAAAACACCTAGGCGCCATAGTCGGCGCCTAGGCGCCCACCTAGGCGGGCTAGGCGCTAGGTGGCCAGTCACCGCCCGACTAGCGCCTAGCACCTTTTAGAACACTGCTCATAGGTATATGGGTGGGTTGGGGTTTTTGGTCAAGCATATTGACTATTGCTATTTTCCCAAACAAACGGTGATCTACGGATCGAGTATTTTCCAAGTGTATGTATACTAGTAAGTATTTCTTAACTTGGGGGAAAAAAGACTATTTATATAATTATCACCCTATGTTTGTGGCTTATACTTGAAACGCCAGTTATTCTATATTTAGCCTCCTACTCGCTCGGTACTTGTACTGCCTCTTCGCCCCCCCACCATTTTCAGGTTGAAGCTAGGGCTTGCTACTTGCACCTTTATACGGGTGGTATCAAATCCAGGAAGACGTGATTCGTGCTTGCTTATTTTCTTTTAAACTACCAAACATTGCTCATGGATATTTTACTTAATATAAACTACTTTTGGGCTTGCATGCCCATGTTGTTGGCCGAATGTGGCTTATGATTTACCGTTGAACATTTCCGTTATTCATTGGTTTGAATGTGATTTTGTTATATATGTTCACTACTGAGTATGGATGGATTATTTTCTCGAACGCCTTGTATGATTAAGTGAGGGTGACTCGCGGGTGACGTCACTTGATTATACGGCGGTTGTACATGCGCTTAGATTGCGGTCTGGAGCGTGACAGGTAAGGGCCTAGGGGTGGTAAGGTATGGTAGGGTGGGGTGGGTCGGGGCAAGGTAGGGTAGGGAGGGTAGGGGTAGGAGGTAGGGTGGGGTCAAGTGGGCCCGATGTGGTAGGGGGTTGGGGTAGGGGTGGTGAGGGGCCTAGGGGTAGGGTAGGGGCTAGGGGTGGTAAGGGCCTACGGATGGCGTCGGGGTGGGGTTGGGGTAAGGTAGGGTAGGAAGGGCAGGGGTAGGTTGGGGCCGAGTGGGGCTGAGGTAGGGGTATGTGGATCAGGGTGGGACCCGAGGTGGGGGCATGTGGTTAGGGGTGGGGTATATAGATTCATCCCGATTAACCGCCCCCAAAACCAATTTCACCATCCTTAAAGGTAGCTGCATCACAATTCATTTTTATGAATCTGATGGGTGGTTTACTCTATTTATCATACCTTAGTCCCGAGGAGCTGTTGGGAGCAATATAAACATTTATAGCATATTTTTGATAGTCCTCAACATAACGATAGAAGCCCGCTTTAATTAGCTCCATTTGTGGTTCATTTTGCTCAAATATAGCTTTGTTTCGACACGTCCAAGCCACCCAACAGATGGTTATAAAGCCATATAGCTCCTTCCTCATGTGTTCCATTACCCAAATAAGTACATCGGCAAATGAAGTTAAAGGTGCCTCTTGAAACATCTTTCCCCAGACTTCGTCTTGCCATATTTTCCTAGCAAATTTGCATGAAAACAACATCTGAATTAGTGTTTCAATCGACTCAAAACATACTGGACAGAAAGGCACCTCGGTAATGTGCCTTTTCCACAGTATTTCTTTAGTCGCCAAACTCCCTGCAATAGTTCGCCATAGAAAATGTTTCAGCTTAGGAGGGACTTTAAGTTCCCAAACCTGCTAAATCGTTCTACCATGCTATCTTTTTAGTCCCATTGGTCCTAAAACGCTAAGCCAATATGCTTATTTTACTGTGAACATACCATTTCTGGCAGGCCACCAATAACGGGGATCTGGAGGGAGTCTCGAGCTCAGCGGGATATTTCTAATGGCCCTCACCTCATCAGTTGAAAAATATGTTGACAACATTTCATCGTTCCACGTTCTCGTCTCTGTATCAATAAGTTTAGCCACTTTTAGATCTGCATCGGCATTCAAGTTCAAAGTGGATATCTTTCTTGGTGGATATCTTGGTAACCATGTATCCTCCCATACCTTAATGTTTAAACCATTTACCACCCGCCACATGAGACCCTCCAGTAGTAATGGTTTTGCTCCCCGAATACTCCTCCATGTGTAGCTAGGATCATAGCCCCTTGCTGCCTCCACAAATTCATCATTTTTGAAATACTTTTGTTTAAAGATTCCATGAAAATCCAGATTAAGGATACCCAGAATGTGATGAAATTCTAAAATCTTTTAAAATCTTTTAAAATCCATATTGGGGACATCCCTGAGTATCTACCCGACCAGCCCAGATGAGATAAGATCATTTCAATTTCAATTAAAAAACAAAGAGAAAAGGTATAAATATACCCCTGTAGTATGGGTGTGGGAACAGATATACCCCTGTACTATTTTTCAGAACAAATATACCCCTGAACTTTTAAAAAAGTGCAAAAAAATCCTTCATGTTCTTATAAAGGGGCAACTTAATCCTTATTGACTTTATATTAATAAAATAAATTTCAAAAAACACCAAATATAAATTATAAATTCGAAATTTTAAAACAAAAAATTTTAAAAATGCAATAGTGTCCAATTCTCCCTTTTATAGTTTTTATATCACAATTTAATAGTGTTTAAGTATGAAATATTATTTCAAAATTTTACTATATGTTTAAGACTTTTTCGAAAAGGCGCTAACATATTTTTTGCAATGTAGAGAAAAATTAATTTTTTGCATTCTTTGCACTATAAAATTATATATTTTGAAATAATATTTTATACTAAAAATATTAAATTGTGATATAAAAACAATAAAGGGAGAAATGGACACAATTACATTTTTATTTTTTTTATTTTTTTATTTCGATTTATTAAATTATTTTTGGTCTTTTTTGAAATTTATTTTATTAATTAAAAGTCAATAAGGATTAATTTGCTCCTTTATAAAAAAAATGAGGAATGTTTTTGCACCTTTTAAAAAGTTCAGGGGTATATTTGTTCCGAAAAATAGAACAAGGGTATATTTGTTCTTCCACCTATGCTACAGGGTATATAGGCAAATAATACCGTGGGATCGGTACACCATGCACACGGTGTACCGATCCCAAAACTACGTAGTATTGTTAATTAAAAAAGGAAGAAACCCTTGTTCCCTGAAATTTGCTGCCGACTTCGTGACTAGAGGCGATGTATGTGATGCTGCAGACTTTTCTTCGCCCATGCTTATGTTCGCCGAGGATTCTGGGAAAGAGTTGGAGTACTTTTCTCTTGGTGCTGGGTCTTGGGAGAATAAAGATTCTGAAATTTTGACTTGGTCTTTCTTCCAATTTTCTTTGCTCCCTCTTTTGTTCAACGACTTAGAATTGAGGCTTGAGTCCTTCTCCTTTGGTATATACGTAGTATATGTATATGGCTTCATGCCCAGGCGGTCTGCCGACTTCTGTTTGTAAATTTTATACAGAAAATTTACATGTTGAAGATGACTGATATAAAATATTTTAGTCTTTCATCAACTTACATCTCGTGCACACTCAAGTTACATCAGGATTGGTCTAAAGTAACATATCTTATACCGTGAGTTACATTTCAACTTTTTTAACAAGTTACATCATGTTTACATTTGATTTACTTTTTCCATAACGCGTGTTACTCCACAATATAATGCGATTTACACAACACAATAAGCCCTTGCTATTCAAATAAAAATTATTTTTATAAAAAAATCATTTTTATAGCCCTGATATTAAAAACAAAACATATACACAATTTATGTAAAATAGTTGGGCAATAGACTCCTTTTTTCACTTTGAAATCAATATTTTATTTCTTATATTATGTATTGGACAAGTTACACTTTGACTAGACTTGAATTACATTCATCAATAATGTGAGTTACATTTCTTTACACGTGAGTTACACCATTTTGCAACTGAAACATGAGAAAAAAAAAGAAGTACTGTTCACGCGTATACTGTTCACGCGTGTACTATTCACGCGATTTTTTTTTTAAAAAATGATTAAAACTATGTCATTTTGAAGGTGAAGCATGGTGCTCACCATGGGATCATCCCACGGTATACGAACTGGGGTATATATATATGTACCTTTTCCCAATAACAAGGACTAGGATACTCTAAACAAGAACGGCCGAATTGCGTCAACTTTGACCGAAGTCTTGTAAGTCGCTGTCGGAACATGAACTGGATTCCAATTAGGCGGCTCTTATCACTCATTCCAAGTCTCAACCCAAACCTTCCTTTCCCTGTTCCTTCCCCTCATGCATCCAAAAATTCGACCTCTCTGTTAACCGACCGCGTTTTCACCCTCTTTTATTTTATCCCACGACTGCTCATTGATTTTATCAAAAAAAAGTTTCCCCTTTTCAGGTTTCGTCCCCCTTCTATTACTGCCCAATTGCTGGAAACTTCAATCTTTTCCCAGTTTTTGTGGATTTTTGCTCTAAATCAAGTCCTAAAAGAGTTTATAAGCGGCGAATAAAATAGACGTTTATTGAATCCACCAAGATTGGATTTTTTGAGATCCTGGTGAATTTTGTCCTAAGAAGTGCGGAGCTGGTTTCATGGCCGCAGAGAGTCGGCGGTATGGTCTTAATGCTCAATTAGGTGAGTTCTGACACTTCACTTTAGAATGCTTATTGCTAATTTCGTGAATCCCTAGCATTGTTTAGTCGGAGCTTTTGGAGGGTGGGGTGAGTTTTGAGGTTTTGCAGCACAAACAACACAAATGCAGTGGTTTGATAAATTTTCAGGTCAAAGGGTTGCATATTCTGTGCCTTTTTGTCAATTGTTGAACACTGCCAGAAGTTGATTGTTTCTCTGTACAGTTAATTTAGGGAAATAGAAAAAGTTTAGTGCACCCATAGGCATTCACGGGGGATGGTAATATGCTAAAGAACATTAGTTTTATTGGTACATTTATGGTAAGGATTTCATGTATGGAGGGAGACCTTAAGAGCCCGTTTGGATCTATGTTTTTTTTTATCAAGATATAGATGAAGCCCTCCAAACCATTCTCCTACAAATTCCTCCAAGATCCTCTACCCAAGCAGAGCCCTAAGAGGACAGTATCCATTTTTGAACTGTAAAGTGTCACACAATATGCAGAGAAATGGTGAAGTTGATTCAACACAACAAACTAGGAAAAATATTTAACTCATTAGGTGGCCAATACAGGCCATTGAAGGACGTATTAGTCATTTTGTCTCCTTGAGTCCTTGTAAACCGACTACCTGGGCCTCTCAGCTGTAGTTTCAAACTGTTGTTTTTTGAAGTTGAACTAGAATACTAGATGCTTGCTTGTTGCTTATGTGATTAAAGTCCATTATTCAATGGCGTTTCACTTCTGACATGTATATACGAGATCCCATTCTTATTGATTTGTTTGAAGAAGACGACCTGCAACCAGTGATGGTTATGCGGAATATTCTAAACAAGGTTTCTGGTGAATGCAGATATTGAGCAGATACTGTTAGAAGCACAACATCGCTGGCTACGCCCAGCTGAAATATGTGAAATACTCTCAAATTACCAGAATTTTCGGATCGCTCCAGAGTCTCCAAACAGGCCTCCAAGTATGATTTGTTCGAAAAACTTCATTCACATATAGGGTGTGCGCATGTGCAAGTGCGCGTGCACATGCATGTATACACAATTACACATATTTTTCGTAAGAAAGTAACACGTCAGGGACAATATATAGGGAATGTCTTCTATTGGATATTTGTGTAGAAAGCTTTCCTCACTTGTCTGAACCTCCCTATTCCCTTCTAGTGCTAGACCTTCCTTGAACACTTATTTAAGTAAGCATGTACTCATGTAGTTATTCATTTTTTTAACTTAGTACTAAGCATATACTAACTCCGTGCTATTTTACTTGCACCATTGGTGAATGTTTCGAGGCTTACGCCTCGAGGCTTACGCCTCGAGGCTTACGCCTCACCTCTCCGGAACAAACCGCCTCGATACTCGAACCCACCTTTTTAAACCTCGTGTATTGTAAATTAATTTTTTGAAAAAAATTGTTAAATTCCTCATTAAATTTTCAGAATCAATTTTTTTTTTAAATTTTTATACTAATAGGGAATGAAAGATATTAATGGTCAAACTTGTACGTTGTCAAACATGAAAAGTGAACTGTTGCAATTAAAAAAGAAGGGAAGAAGTAGTTCTTTTCTAGGCTAAGTTTAACAAATATAGAAAAATTAGTTAAACTAAAATCAACCCCCTCCAAATTCCCCAACCAAACAAGCCCATAGGTGATAGGACTTGTTAGGGGCTAGCATCCAGTCTCCCACATGCTTGGTGCTTTTTAAAACACTGGTTGAAAGGCGAAGGTATAATGTACATGCAAGTGTACTATTGCCTTTTCCTTTTGTACTTTTTTGTTAAGTAATAAAGAATGTCTAGCAACTAGCTATGTTTAGTATGTTAGTTTTATGTATATTTATCTAACCACCAATTTAATATGGAATGGAAGTGTTTCAAATTCATTATCAAAATGAATAAAAATAGACATCAAAACATGGAAAGAATGAAGTATCACTTGTTATGAGTGAAAGTAATTAGTTTGATATATGGGGAAATAGTACTTTCAATGCCTCAAATAGTACCCATATTGAAATGTAGTCCCCATGTTTTTTAGTTTGTAAATGTCACCCCTCAATTGTCCGAGTTGTTGTAAATGTATTTCTCGTCGTTAAACCTGAACTAACATCGTTAACTTGTACTCTTATACGTAGTATAACTTTTGACACGGTTAGGGTTATAACTTCTGACTTTTTGTGTCTCTAAAGTTACACCACATATTAAAATTTTGATAGAAAAAATCCAAAAAATCGATATGGCCAAAAAATATTTCATTTCTGTACAAATTTCAAAAGTTCTCCTCACTAACGATTTTGTCATTAAAAGTAGGCTACCGACCAAAAATGCCGATAAAAACAACCCAATTTTACAGATTATAAACTCCCACACAGAAAAATAATATTTTCAAACAAGTTAAAATATTGTATAGTTTTTGCGAACATTTTCAAAATCCTTGACACTAACAATTTTTGCCTACATAATGTTAGGCCATGGAAAAAATGCCAGTCCTGAAAAATTAATTTTATAGACAATATTTTGACTATGCCAAAAAATATATAATTTTTTATACCTTTTCAAATCACAGTGTCTGACACTGACACTCACATTTTCTATCTGTCATCTAATTTCACAGAAAATAGTCACTGGAAAGGATTTTGAAAATGTCTACAAAAATTATAAAATTTTTCGGCACTATCGAAAATACTTTTATAAATGTCCGTCACACAAAAATATTTTCGACTTTGCCAAAAAATTGTCTGACTTTGTACAAATTTTCAAAATCCTTTACACTAACGTTTCTCCTGTAAAGTTAGGTGAAAAAAATGTCGGTCTAAAAACCATTTTTGTAGACAATAAATGTTTGGCACTACCTCAACCTTTTTTGTCAGTACCATACATTTATTGGCACTATTAATGCCAGACATTTAGTGCCAGACAATATGATTTGAGAATGTGTACAAAAGTTATACTATTGTTTAGCATTAACAAATATTTTTTGCATGTACAAACATTTATTATTTGTAAAGTTGATTTTCTCAACTGATATATTTTGTCCTTCACCTAACACTATATAGGCAAAAATCGCTATTGCGAAAGATTTTTAAAATGTGTACAAAGAGTATACAAGTTTTTAACTTGTTTAAAAACATTCTTTATTTGTGCCAGGCGTTTATACTCGGTAAAATTGGATTTTTTCCCACCAATATTTTTGTATGTGACCTACTTTAACCAAAAAATAGCCGGTGGAAAGAATTTTGACAATGTGTACAAAAACGATACAATTTTCTTTGCCACATTGGAAACACTGTTTATCTGTGTCGGTCATTTATTGCTTATAAAAATTCGATTTTTTGATCAACATTTTTATCCGCGGTGTAAGATTAGAGAAAAAACTATCGATGTGAAGAATTTTTAAAACATTTTTTAACACTAATTGTCTCAAAAGTTATAAAAGTTAACAATGTTATTTCAGATTTAACGGCGATGACTACATTTACAATAATTCAGACAACTGAGGTGTGACATTTACAAACTCAAAAATACTGAGACTACATTTCAATGTGAGTACTATTTGAGGGACTGGAAGTGTGATTTCCTCTTGATATATTGATTTTATAGTTAATTGACATTGTATTGAATGATGATGATGACATTGCATTGAATGAATCTTCAATTTTTTGGATTGCTGGGATAGGTATTCAGTTTTTAACTGCTGTGTTTCTTTTCCAGGTGGTTCACTATTTCTTTTCGATCGTAAGGTGTTACGATATTTTCGGAAAGATGGGCATAACTGGAGAAAGAAAAAGGACGGGAAGACTGTGAAGGAAGCTCACGAAAAGCTGAAGGTAGATCTGTAATGGTTTGTCCCATTGATGATTTCTCAGACAAAGTTATTTGTGAGAACAATATTTTCCACTTTTGGTCCCATAAGTATCCGGCCATTTCCACTTTGTTTCCCGACTTGCAGTTTTTCACTCATGGTATACGACTATGGATTCCGTGTCGATTTGGTGCTTCCAACCACATATCTATCCAACTTCATCACAATTTGCGGATTATTTTTTCAGGACAAGCGACCAAGAAGGATTAAAAGTAACAATAATTTTTATCGTTATGCGCCAAAAATTGAAAAGATGGAAGCTGAGAAATGGAAGTGGGAATGACGTAATAGTTGTGGGACCAAGAGTGAAAAAGATTTCTATGAAAATTTTGTTGTGTGAATGCTCACAAACTGGGATTGATCTAAAATAATACTTGTTCTCCAGGCAGGAAGCATTGATGTCTTGCACTGCTATTATGCTCATGGTGAAGAGAATGAAAACTTCCAGAGGCGCAGCTACTGGTTGCTTGAGGAGTGCGTTACATAAATTGGCTAGTGTCAAGTTTTTGTTTTAGATTATGTTCATGGATATTTTACTTCTATAGTGATTTATTCTAATCTTAATCCAAGGATTTAGAAAAACTAGCATGTAACATTTATACCTAATCTCTGTCATGTTTTTTTTCTAGAGAGCGGTCAAACATTGTTCTAGTGCACTACCGGGAAGTAAAGGTAAACATACCTTTCACATTTTTTGTGGCTGACCAGCAAAAAATCATTTTGAAAATATCAACACGATTCCATGGCTTTATAGATTTTACACTGTCTAAATAAAAAAATTGTACCTTGACCAAACAAGACTCTTTATTTGGGACAGAGGTAGTATTTAGTATGACTGTATGAGGTTGATGAGTAAAGATCATCTCCCCTGTTCGGTCAAGAAATAAAATAGGGAAGGAGTTAAGCATGGAGGTTTGTCACCTCACTGTTCAGCCTCTTAGAAAATGGGTGGATTAGGCTTAGCTGTATTTCAAATTGTAAGAAAGAAAATGGGTGGATTAGGCTTAGCCGTATTTCAAATTGTAAGAAAGAAAAAACACAATGGTTTCAAGATATGTTTTACCGATGGAAAATAATCTCCCCCCCATCTTTAAATGTAATTTCGTTTATTCACATCAAGCATTGAAGCCACTCAATGTGAACATGAGGACATTTTTCAATCTTTTATTTATCTATCTGTAGTGAATCGGATTCAAGCTTTTGTAGTTTCAAATCCATGAGAATATAAAATATCGTATTTTCAAAAATTCTTGTTTTTTAGTGTTCAATGGGGAACTTATAGATGATCTAAGCACATGTTTATTCTGCAGGGTAGCCGGATGAACTATAGCCGTGCTAGAGAATCTCATTTAGCTATTCCCGCTTTTCCAGATGGTGAAGAAGACGTGAACAGCTCTGAAGTGAGCACTACACTTTCTTCAAAACCCCAACAATATGATTACCTAGCAACATCACATGTTACAGATACGGCTAGCCTTAACAGTGCTCAAGCCCCAGATTATGAAGATGCTGAATCAGGTATTTATTTATACATACATAGTTGATAAATATATTCATAAATTTATATACAACTTATTTATTTATTAATTTATTTCATGATGTTCCAAATAATTGGTACATTTTGTTATTTGTATCTGTATGTCGGAAACTAAGCATAAATTATCTGGTTTGAAATATAACTTATAGCAGTGCACAATCGACAATCAACTTCTGGGATGCACTCTTTTACTGAATTTCAAGCAAATATGTCCCCCAAGGTTGAAGATGGACTTTCTGCTCCTTATTATCCAGTCTATATCTCAAGTAATAAATAGTTTTTGTTTTTGTTTCATTTAAACTTCATTACTCCATCAATCCCAAAAAGAGTCATTTTTGAATAGCCATTTTTGTCCCAAAGAAACCATCCTGTTTCTTTATGTTTTTTTTTCTCTCCCAAAATATTACTGAAATAAAACTTATGGATAAAAATGGAACTAAAGTTACCAAGTGTATAACGTCATTGTCACTACACTGTAGAGTTGAACATAATCATAGGCACTAAGATTTACTAGTGTAGGTGAGGTCATGTTTTTGTCCACCATATTTGTTTTAGTCATATATAAGACATTATTTCTTTCATTTAATAGACCATATTATTTACTCCCTCTGTCCCAATGTAAGATACATCTTGGTTTGACACGGGTTTTAAGAAAATAAAGAATAAAGTGATTGTTTTACAATTCTAACCTCCAAAAAGTAAGAAAAATGGAAATGGTCCTAAATAGGACTAATGAGTTCCTAAAAAGCACAAATAGGACTACTACTTTTTAAATTCCCTAAATAGGACTAAACATTGATTTTCTACCCTAAATACTACTAAGAGTATTAATTCATAATGAAATGATTTAATTCATAATAAAATCTTAAAAAAACGTAAAAAAATATTTAAAAAACGTAAAAAAATTATAAAAAATTTATAAAACATTTATAAAATAATTTTTTTTTTAATTTTTTAAAAAAATAATAAAAATAGTAAAAACCCATTAAAAATGAAAAAAATTATGGATACCTTTCCCACCGCCTCCCGCCGCATCCCAGCACCACCTCCGTTTGGTGAAATTTCTTCCACTTTTGGTAAAAAAATGTCATCTTTCTCTGAAAATGCCAAAAAGATGGCATAATTACTCTTCAATATGCCAACATTTTCATTGAATATGCCATCATTATGGCATTATTTAAAATGTTGGCATATTTTTCTTCGGTGATGGGAGCTGGTGGTGCTGGGGGTGGCAGGGGTGGTAATGTTTTTTTTGAATTTTACGATTTTTTTAATTTTTTTTAATTTTTTTAAAAAATATATTTTTTAATTTTTTTAAAAAATATTTTTATTAATTTTCTATTATTTTTTTACGATTTTTAGTATTTTTTTTCTCTTTTTATTATTTTTTTATGATTTTATTATTAATTAAAACATTTCACAAGTTACAAGGGTATATTTGTCCAAACACACATAAATAGTCCTATTAAGGGAATTTAAAAAATGTAGTCCTATTTGTGCAATTTTGCCACTTTTTAGTCCTATTTAGGGAATTGACTCTAAGAAAAAATGAGATGGGCCCACAAAATTAAAGAGTGAAATGATAGATAAATGGCAAGTAAAAAGTTAGTGTAGTTCAATTTAGGAAAATATTCATATTTTTTGGAAAGCCCAAAGAGGAATGTGTATCTTACAAAATGGGACGGAAGGAGTATATTATATGCTAAATCGGAAGTTACCAACGAGTATAATATGATAAGTTTAGTGAACCCTAAAATTTCAAGATATAAATACAGTTCCATGACTTTTGAAGTTGTACATTGTACAAATAAAAAGTGGTGCATTTACAAAACATGATCTTTTTTTTGGGGATATGGAGGTGAGTAGTTCGAGTGCTTTCCTGTCATGGTTGTGATACTATGGCATCATTATGCATACAAAATAACACTTCCTGAAATGGAATAGATGATCATCAAGGCTATTTTCCAGCTGTTTCTGGTATGAACTTCCCTTCAAACGCACATGAAAACCACAACAGGAGTACTGCAAATGCATATATGCCTGATTTGCCATCATGGGATAATATATTAGAAAAGAGTACTGCAACTTATGGATATGTACCATTTCAAACGTCACTTTCCCCATCTCAGTCTCCAATAAGCAAGATGAATGGGCAAGGGAGTTCTATGATTGGCTTCACAAATGCCCTAGAAGAATGGGAGGTAAGTAGTGATTTCCAGATATATGCAACTTGTAAGTTATTTACTACATAAATAATAAATACTTTATAAAGTAAAATATAATGATCCATTCTGAACTGCAATAGTTAATCTATTATTATCAGTCAACTATGAGGATATAATTAAGGGAAATCACACTTAGAGTGTGTCCGGAAAAGTTGAAAAAATCAAATTTATAATCATTTATATTTATAAATGACTACAATCGTTTATATTTATAAATGACTACAATCGATTATAATCAGAAATAAAGTTTGTTTAGATCTAACAAAAAACTAGCTTTTCAAGGTAAAGTAGGTACCATGGCAGCTCAAAGAAAAAAAATCTCTCGAAAAATAATTTTGAAGTGCCAGTTCCCAACTTCTTAAATCAGCTGAAATTTAATGACAATACGTTGTCTTTTCACTAATAATGTTCCATGCCAATCATGATTCATGACATTTTTAGTAAATAGCTGAAATTTGACTAAAAACTAGGGGTTTCCCGAACCGAAATAGGAAATTTCCGAACCGAAACCGAAATAGGAAATTTCCGAACCGAACCGATTTTTCGGTTCCTCAAATTTCATAACCCGCAACCGACCCGACTTTTACTGAAACCTGATTTTTTCGGAAACCGAAATTTCGGGTCGGTTTGAGGAAAATCGAATGGTTTGAGGAAAAACCGAATGATTTTTGGAAAATTAGACTATGGCAACGCTTTGAAGCAAGCCTTGAACACCTATTCAAGCGGTCTATCGAAGGTGTGTATATATAGGAAAGAATGAGGAGTAAATCCTCCATTTCCATCAGTGCGGGAAATCTGAAAAGGTTTGGAAAATAAAAGGAAAAAAACTGGTGGAAGGCGGGATTCGAACCTGGGTGAAAACAAAGGCGCGCACAGGGGAGTATACACTAAACCGCTGAACCACGTCGACCAGTTGCTAACGGTGGGACTTACATACATTATATTACCAACTTTTTATACGGAATAAATAATTAATATTCCTTAATAAAATTCAGTTCGGTTTGAATCGATATTTAAACTCAAAAAACCGACTCTAAACTGATTCATGTTCGGGTCCCGTACAAGTCGGTTCGGTTTCGGCTCGGTATTTTTATTGCTCGGTTCGTTTTTTTCCGATTCGGTTTTCGTTTTTCGGTTCTAAATGCCAGCCTTACTAAAAAATAAGTGAAATACATGGATCCGTAACATGCTCTTTGTCCTTCAATACCGTGATATAACCTGGGACTTGTAGTTCAGATGGTGAATTTAGTTTCTCGATTGTGATAATTGAAATACAATTAGTTGTCCCATTAAAATTATCCGTTAGTATTAAGATTTTCTAGAACAATCATAACAACATTTACCCCAGTGCCGCAAAGGCTCCCACCCGTGGTGGGGTAAGGGGGGTCGGATGTATGCAGCCTTACCCCTATACTGAAGCACGTAAAGATTGTTTGCGGATGACCCAAGATGAAAATCGCGTCGAAAGTTGCACAGACTGACTGCTTCTCCATAACAAAGAAGCGAAGGCAATTTAGTGAGCCATTTTGCTCTATTCCATCATATTCCCAACCCGCTAAGATTGTCTCATCTTTCTTTTTTTCGGTCCGTCCCATACCAAATTTGGTAAAGTTTGTGTGGTTCTAATTCATTCTTACTTTATCAATTCAATATCAACCACAAAAACTCACTTTTCTTAATAACTTCACCACCTCCTAATGTCCCTTTTTAGTGGGACGGTGGTAGTAGTATTTAACAATGTGAACGTGGTTTTAATGTGAGGTAATATGTGGTTCTAAAATAAACTATGGAGGTACCAAATTTGCAAAAAATGAAGACACATCCCATATCTCATAATGTATATTGTTTCTTTGATTGTGAACTGAAAATGTATATTGTTTTCATGACGTACTTGCTATCTGCAAATTTGAAATAACCTTGTATAGTTTGCTTGACACAAAAATTTGTACAACTCCAATGCACAGGCACCTAAAGGTGCATCATTCAAACTGTCAAAGTGGTTAGTGGATCCGAAGATTGAACCGAGCCAAGGATTTGAGTTCACTAGCAAGTTACATACACAAGAGAACTATGGTGAGAGCATTCTTAAAGCTGCCGAGTTAGATGGCAGGCTTAATGTGGAAAGCAAAATTGACAATTTTGGTTTGAAGCAACCTTTGTTAGACAGTGTTCTAAGACAAGGGCTGAAGAAGCTTGATAGCTTTGACCGTTGGATAAGTAAGGAGCTTGAAGATGTAAATGAGGAGCCACATATGCAATCATGTTCTGGAAGTTATTGGGAAAATGCTGGAAATGGAGATGGAGTAGATGAATCCGCAATTGCTTCTCAGGTGCAGTTAGACATGTATGTCCTTAGCCCGTCATTGTCGCAAGATCAGTTCTTTAGCATTATTGATTTCTCACCAACTTGGGTGTACGCTGGAACAGAGACCAAGGTATTTAAGCCAAGTACATCTCTCACCAACTTGGGTGAAAAGTGAAAACTGTGCTCTTATCTTAGGCTCTGTGTGCAAGTGATTGTGCTTAAATAAAAGCACTTTTTGGGAAAAAGTGATTAGTAGTAAAAGTTGGTAGTGTTTGGTAAAATGAGTGATTTTTGTGTAATAGAAAAAGTAAAAAGTAGATTCTACACGAAAGCCGAGAAAAGTAAAAGTTGGTAGTGTTTGGTAAAATAAGTGATTTTTTCTTAAAAAAAGCCACAATCACTTAAATTAAGGGCTTGCAAACAGAGCCTTAATGTCGTAAAAAGCTACTATAACAATGTGTATGGTTATCGATGGAATATGTTTTAATTTTAAGCAAATCAAGCAATTTTTTAACCTGCAAGGTCAATAATACGTTTTTTGACCAGGTTCTAATCACTGGAAATTTCTTAGTTCCTCGTCCAGAGGTGGAGAAGTATAAGTGGGCGTGCATGTTTGGAGATTTGGAAGTTCCCGTTGAGGTCATTGAAGACGGGGTTCTTCGTTGCCACACGCCTTTCCAAAATCCCGGGAGGGTTCCATTTTACATAACGCGTTGCAATAGGTTAGCATGTAGCGAAGTGAGAGAATTTGAATTCAGGGTTGGTGAAGTTCAAGATCTCGAGGTGTATGGAAATGATGGTGGGTCCAGTGAAGAAAGTCTTCTTCACATGAGATTCGTGAAACTTTTATCTCTGGAGTGTGCTGGGTCCCGCAACCCCATTCCTAATAGCAATGCAGAAGATATCTCTCGCGTAATAAAAAAAATCAATTCTTTGTTAAAAGAGGATAGCAGTGATTGGGAAAACATGTTGCATTTCACTGCGGGAGACATGTACTTAACGGAGACAGTAAAAGACCAGCTGTTACGGAAGCTGCTAAAGGAGAATTTGAGAAATTGGCTCATTCAAAAGGTGGGTGAAGGTGAGAAAGGTGCTAATGTAGTTGATGAGAGTGGTCAAGGAGTTCTTCATTTTGCAGCGGCTCTTGATTATGATTGGGTTGTACCGCCAACTTTAGCTGCAGGTGTAAATGTTAATTTTAGAGATGTGAATGGATGGACAGCACTTCATTGGGCAGCAGTATATGGAAGGTATTGCGTTGTTTTTTAAATTATTCATGATATGGTGATAAATGTATTAATTTTAGTGGTAATCTTATCCTTTATAAATCATTTTTTTTTTCTTGAAATTATTGAAACCATTCTTGAAACATGAAAAAGCACACAGTAGAATACTCCAAAATTTGTTACTCACATCATTCTTCAATTATCTTTTAGCATTTGATTGGATCTCGGAAATCACTATGGATAAGAAAGAATGGGCTTAGCAAAGTTATTTTCTTGTGTTTGATATTACCTCAGAAAATAGAGAAAAGGGGCAAATAAGCCCTCAAACTATTTGCAATTCTGCAATCAGGCCCCTGAACTTGAAGAATTGCAGATACACCCCCAACTCATTGAAAATAATGCAATCAGGTCCTTTTTACCTGCCGGTGCCGGTAATATTTCATCTTCTTACCCCCACCAACATGAAAAAAAAGGATTTGATTGCATCATTTTCAATGAGTTGAGGGGTGTATCTGCAATTCTTCAAGTTCAGAGGCCTGATTGCATAATTGCAATTAGTTGGAGGGCTTATTTGCCTCTTCTCTCCAGAAAATATGAAAGAAAATTAATCATGTTTTTTTTAAATTTATCACGGAAATTTAACTTTCTTATCCTTTATACTACGTATAATACTCCGTTGAAATGAATAAATGACGTATGTTTGCACTTTGCACAAATACCTAAAATAAATATATTGAATTTAAATTTACCTTTTTACTATCCCACAAATTTTCTTCCCTTATACGTAGTACTTTCCTCTCCATTTTCTTTTCCAACTATTTTTTCCCGGTTCCAAACAAACCTTAATCTATCTGGTGCCATGATAAACTATCAAATATTTGTGTTAGAAATTTGATGGGTTGCCTGGATTTATCATGGAAGTGTTGCATATCAGTTTCTCGAGTATTGCCAAGTCCAGAAGATTCTGGATTTCTTTTATTTAAAACACAACTTTAAGTTGCATTTTCGTCCAAATTTCTTTTGTATTCCCCTCATTATTATCTTTCGTCTAGCATTGTCCAGGTTCCAAAAGAACTTTTTATGTTTAACTCTGGGATATCTGAATTGTGTTTGATTATAATTTGAACATCTTGCTGTGCGTTAGAGAACGAATGGTGGGTTGCCTAATCTCTTTAGGAGCTGCCCCGGGAGCTTTGACAGATCCTACCCCTCAACACCCTTCTGGCAGAACACCTGCTGACCTGGCATCCGCCAGCGGGCATAAGGGAATCGCTGGTTACCTGGCAGAGTCTGCCTTAAGCACCCACCTCGGTTTCCTCAAATTGAAGGAGCACAAGGAGGACACTAACACTGAAGTCGTTGGGTATGTTTGGGTCATGGAAAGTACAAGGAAAAAGTGTTGAAAAAGTTATTTCTCATGCTTAGTTTTACATTGAAAAATAAAAAATGCAAGGGAAAATGAAATATGATCAATGACTTTTTTTTACATTTATATATATTTATATTTCTTAGTCTTACTCCCTCCGTTTCAGAAAAATTGTAATTCCAGAGAAGTGAACATATTAAATAGGGAAAACTGTCAAATAGGTCCTCGAACTTTCATAAAAAGGTCAAATAAGTCCTTATACAGGAGGTTCTGTCCGGCCGTCGCGATTTGGGGCGGTTCCCGGTGAAATTTTTTGATGAAATCTTTTGAGCATGTTATTCATTAAGTCTAGTTTACTCATACCAAATTTCAGCTAAAACTTCAATCGGGAACGCATTCAAATTAATTCTTGAAGATAACTGTGCAGTGAAATGCGCAGTTATCTTCAAGAATTAATTTGAATGCGTTCCCGATTGAAGTTTTAGCTTAAATTTGGTATGAGTAAACTAGACTTGATGAATAAGATTCTCAAAAAATTTCATTAAAAAATTCCACCGGGAACCGCCCCAAATCGCGACAGCCGGATAAAGCTCCTTTATAAGGACTTATTTGACCTTTTTATGAAAGTTCGAGGACCTATTTGACAGTTTTCCCTATTAAATATTACAAATTGATTCCTAAAATGACACAAAAATTGGACAGTTTTTTTTTGTCTGGCTGAAAAGGCGATTAATTTGGGATGTAAGAGAGTATATATTAATAGATAAATTAAATGAGTCTGAACAAGTATCTAAAATAAGTTCACCCTGAGCTTTAATGAATCTTTTACCCCCACCCCCATATTTTCTGTGCTAATCTTACTCTGTGTTTTTTCCTGCGTTCTCCGCTAGGTCTTTCCACGTTCCAAACAGAACCTTGGATTGTAATGCAGTGCAAATGGTTTCTGAGCGTATTGCTACTCCGGTCCGTGATGGAGATTTACAGGATGGACTCTCACTGAAGGACTCACTGGCAGCGGTTCGTAATGCGACCCAAGCTGCTGCACAGATTCAACAAGTGTACAGGGTGGAGTCGTTCCAGAGGAAACAGATGATAAATTATGGTGAAGGTGGTGAGCTCTCTGATGAGGCGCATGCTGTTTCTTCACTTGTTGGTGTGAAGAGGGCAGGTAAACACTATGACGAACCATCCCATGCTGCTGCTGCCATAAGGATACAAAACAAGTACCGCAGTTATAAGGGAAGAAAACAGTTTCTTCTGATTCGGCAACGTATCATCAAAATTCAGGTGTGGTGTAGTTGTAAATATCCCCCCACTGGCTAAGGCATTGAAAAGTTACTACTTCAATAAATTATAAATATACTTGTTTTAAGAAATCTACTTGTAATTTTAAAACATTTGTTCAGAAAACTTTTTTTTGTTATGTTTTGGAAAATTTGTATCAAATTGAATGAAAATCAGCGTTCTTTTGTTGAAATTGGGATCTTCTTTGAGACAAAAGTAGGTATTGATACAAGACTCTCTTTGACTCCATATAACGTGTTGAGATTTTATGTGTCTGTTGAGGAAGTCGTATAAATTATTAAATTTAGTGAAACTAGCCACCCTTCTTGGGGTGAAATAGGGTTATTCTTTGGGGAAAAAGTTGTTACATTAGCCTCTCTTGAAAATTCCTTTTTGGTTATTTATTTATTTATTTATTTATTTATTTATTTATTTATTTATTTATTTATTTATTTATTTATTTATTTATTTATTTATTTATTTATTTATTTATTTATTTATTTATTTATTTTTTATTTATTTATTTATTTATAATTCCATCCGTCCGTCCGTCCGTCCGTCCGTCCGTCCGTCCGTCCGTCCGTCCGTCCGTCCACCCGCCCGCCCGCCCGCCCGCCCGCCCGCCCGCCCCGCCCCGCCCCGCCCGCCACCCACCCACCCACCCGGCACCCACCTCACTACACGAGATTAAAAAACACATATCTATGTGCTTGTGTCAAAGACAGCTTGTCAAGTTCAACATGAGATACATCTCTGTCAAATGATATTGCACCATCATTCCACCGAGATTGATTCATCCTTTTACATTAGAATTTTTGGCGGAAGACTTTTGTCCAACATATACTTACAATTTTAATGGTAACCGTTGGTATATTATGTAATTATTATACCAACGGTTTCAATTTAAGTATAGCAATTGCTTAATTTATACCAACAAAGTTCAGAAGTTGTGGATGCACATATTGACAAACCTAACGAAATAGGTGTACCGTCGGTATAGCTATCTTATAAAAACGTCAATTGCATGTTGGTACAAATTACTGTTGGTGAATGGCATTTTTTTGTGGTGTTGCTCATTTATCAATTTATGCTTCTCACATTTGTTGCTGTTTCTTTTCTCCTGTTCTCCATGAAAAAGGCTCATGTAAGAGGGCATCAAGTGAGGAAGAACTACGGGAAGATAATATGGTCTGTTGGAATACTAGAGAAGGTAATCCTGAGATGGAGACGAAAAGGAAGCGGCTTACGCGGTTTTAAACCAGAAACAAGCCTCTCTGAAGGTGGCGGCAGCCCTAGCACGGTCAACCAACCCGTGCAAGAGGATGACGAGTATGATTTCCTAAAGCAAGGTAGAAAACAAACCGAGGTCAGATTGCAGAATGCCCTTGCCCGGGTTAAATCCATGGTTCAATATCCGGAGGCTAGAGATCAATACCGAAGACTACTAAATGTTGTCTCTGAAATGCAGGAAACTAAGGTACCCCCCACAATTTCACCACGTTTCAGTTTTTTTTTTTTTTGGAAATGTCGGATGACGTTACCCTTCTTGGTAGGGTCATGTTGGCTTTCGATCTCGGCCTAAAGTAGAATCCTAGAAAGTTTGAGTGTTCATGTTTAGAGCCCTAAAATTTTTGGGTCTATTTCGGCTTTGGGTTGGTTATTCACCTATTTGAGTACACTTTTGTCAGCTTTGGGTTATTTGAGTACGGGTTTTTTGGATCTGGGTCCATCGAATTTTAAAGTTTAAACCTCTAAATATAGTAGACCACTTCAAATAAATTATGTGGGACTGCTGACAAAATGATAGAAGATATATCGTGTAGGGAAATGTCTTATTGGATTGAATTTGGCTGGTTTGTTTAGGTCTGGTGCCTGTCTGGATGTAGTTTATACTTTATACAGAGTAATATGTGTTTCAAGTTCGGGGTATTGAAATTTAAATACTCTGTATTATTATTGTTAAAATTATTACCACCACCACCATATAGTCATATACGTAGTATATTCTAGCTATTTGTATTATTACCCGAAACCCCCAAGGAATGGTCTTAAATTTAGAAATCGGCGGTGTCTTTGTTAATTTGCTTTGTCCCCCCATTCAGATCTAGTGATCTACCCACTGCAACCAAACATTGGCTAAAGAAAGCTTCTTATTTGGATTTTGTTATTATGTTGCAGAATAATTACGATAGGGTGCTCAGCAATACAGGTGAAGTTGGTGAAGATGATGATCTTATTGACTTGGACGTGTTGTTGGACGATGATACTTTCATGCCACTGGCACCTTGAATGACGATTCTGTTATGTACAATAGTTATCAAGTGTTTCAAGTCATCGCTCGCTCGCTCAAAGTGTGTATATACATAACATATAAATATAAATATAAATATATACCGAGTACGTGTGCTCATATATACACCATATGTCATCCCATTGAACAAACATCACCTTCACTTCACCTCACATCCCAGGTCATAACATTTTTGTTTTGAGAAACTTGAATGTCTATGTGATTGGCAACGTACGGAGTACGGAGTATTCATTAGTGGAGTAGGGGCATTTTGATAATTTAATCTTGGGAATTAGCTATGTGATTACACGTTGGTCTCATTTTTGGCATTTGCTAAAAAAGGTTTTAGATATGTCAAAATCCTTTTAATTTGTAATATCTATGACCAAACCCCATAATACTACGTCCTGATATAGCTAATTCCCAAGATTAAATAAATTGGAGGTCTTCTCCAGGGCCGGTCCTGACCATTTCTGGGCCTATGGGCGGTATGCTATTCTGGGCCTATGACCGTATACTTATTTGAAATAAGAATTATAATAAAAATGTTCAATGAAGTTCATAAAATAAAGTCAAAAATCACTTTATTATTATTATTATTATTATTATTATTATTATTATTATTATTATTATTATTTAAGTTACATATTTGGGCAAAAGTAACAACACAAGTATCGGATAAAAAGAAAAAACATCAGTAAAAAACATTTCTTGTAGAACAATATGAAGCAAATAATCAATAATAGCTTCATAGGCGACCTTCTTTCTATTAATACATGACAAACAATAAAATTGCCACATATGACAACACTAAACTTTTTTTTGAAAGGAAATATGAAAAAAATGTCACTACATATTGAATTCATAAGTTGAGAATGATTTATTGACCGTTGATGAAGTCTAAAGTTTAAAGTCTCAAAAGAATGAAGGGTTTCAAAGAGACAAAATGTATGGTCGCCAAGAACACTCTCGCAAGAAGACTGTCAATTTGACATCCTCTAAACTACTATTAGGAACTCAGATATAGTTTATTGAAATTTGGAAACAAATAAATAATTGGGATGAGATTTGAGAGAGATGGACTCTAAAATAATTATATAAATTTGTTATGTTATAATTAAATGAATAAAAAGCCTTAAAGGCTAAAGAGATGTAAAGACTACAACAGATCCTACTTAAAATTAATGTATATTCTTTTTTTTATGGAGCAACAATTGTATTGCTTTTAAAAACTACAACTGATCCTACTTAATATTAATGTACATATTCTTTTTTTAAACTTGGCTCTGTTTAAAATTTTTTATTTACATTTTAAATTTTCAAATTGCCAATAAAATTAAACATTAGGCCTAATTAACTAACCTTAAGAATTAAAAAAAGAAGCCTACTAACACTATACATAAAGAAAAAAATTGGGCCTATTTTTTCTTCTATTTTTTGCCGGGCCTAGGGCGGACGCCCCTCTTGCCCTCCCCCCAGAACCGGCCCTGGTCTTCTCCCATCTTCGCCAAAGCTTTAGGCATAATTGGAGACTTGGAGTTAGTGATGGACCCGAGCCGGGCCTAGGCCCAGAACTGGCCCGGGTAACCCCCGGGTCCGGGTCGGGCCTCGGGCCAAATTCATTTTTTTCCCTTTTTCTACTTAACCCCCGACCCCCCCCACCCCAACCCCCCAAACCACCCCAAATGGCCCAAAATACTCAGCCCAACCCGGGAATTCAAAAAAAATTGAAAAAAATAAATATGGCCCGAACCGGCCTGGCCGGGTTCCTTATTTTCCTGACCCGAGCCCGCACCGAAAAACCCCCGGGCCGGGCCTACCCCGAACAGTCCCTGGCCGGGCCACCGGGTCGGGCCTAACAGTACCGGGCCGGGTCGGGCCACCCGGCCCGAGTCCACCACTACTTGGAGTTGTTGGTAAGAATAAAGAAAAGATGAACGCTACGGTATTTCAGATATGTTTTATATATAAGGGTATTTGAGACAATTCATCTCACTTTTAATCACTTATATATATATCTTAAATAAGAACTAGTCCTATTTTCGTTAGTGTAAAGTGATGAGTTTTATTCATCATCTTTTTCATATTACAACTGATGGTTTTTAAGTTTAATTTTTTAAATAAAATTATACATGAGATTATAATATTGGATTTTTGTTGGTGCAAACTAACTAGCTCTTGTGCATTGGAGGAGCATAAATGGTTTAGAATGTACTACCTAATATTAAACGAACCATCTTTGTTTTAGATGATAAGAAACAATATCCAAGCATTAAAATTAATGTTATTTGCAAAGGCCATGTTTGGTAAATGGCTTTTCAGACAAATTTTGACGGATTTGACCAAATTCAGCTTTTTCGGCCGGTCAAAACGTCAATTTTAATTCTTTGGCAAATTGCTTTTTAATATGGCGTTTTGGGCCTTTGGCCCAAACCGATGGGCGATGGGGCGTTTAGGTTTAGCAGTTTTAAATTACTACCTCCGTCCCCCTAAGTTTGGGACAAGAGAAAGTGACACGATTATTAATAAAAGTGCGTTTATGTGGTTGATATTTAATTGATAATGTAAGAATAAAGTAAGAATGCTTTAGAACCACACAAATTTTACCAAATAAGGTATGAGACAATCTTAGTGGGACGGACCGAAAAGGTAAAATGGGACAATCATAGCGGGACGGAGGGAGTAACTATTATTTCTCAACCGTACCCTTCTATCTTCATCCATATTCCCGCATGACCGCATCACACTTCTCCTCTCAAGACCAGCGCAGCAGACCTCCCTCTTCTTCTATGTTTTGATTACTTCGTACTTTTTATAGAAGGTACGTTTTGTTCCAATTCCAATTTCCAAACTTAAATTTCTCTAGTTAATCATTGATATGAACTCGTAGGAGCTTTATATTCTATTGTCATTAAATTTCATTTTGGATTTGTTCCCTACATATAACTGTGTTTTTGAACGCAAAGTACATGCAGAGGAGGTGATTTTGGTTTGATGACGATCTCAGACTTTATACTGACACGAAATTGTAGTTTCGTAGCCCAGCTTGGGACAAATTCTCTTCCACTATAAGTTGTTTTTTCCTTTTACTAGGAGTAGCAGCTAGATGCATGAGTGGAGCATGATGAAGTATTGGAAATTAAAAACTATGATGGGGTGCCAGTAATTTTGCTGTGATGAACCATATCTATTAATTACTTTGTATATATCAATAGAGTAACGTTCTCCTCCGAACTGCCGGACACATTCCCGTCCGAACCTTTTTAAAAATGATGAGAGGCCGTAGATGACTCGGATCAATAAATGGACCAGATTTAAAATTTAAAAACAAAACTTTCTGGCTTAGTTTATTCACTTTCCCCTCTACTGATAAAAAAAATGCCCACTGAGGTTCCTTCCCTAGTTCACTCTATTTTCATCCAGATCTCCACATCAACACCAGAAAGCTCGAGAGTTGGTACCGCCCTCTTTAGAAATGGGGGAATTAACAAAACATCTCGATCTAATTTTATCTCCCTAACAATTACGGAGTAAAAAAAATGAGGACTTTGATACCTACCAAAATTCGTCTTATGAGGTTTTAGTTTCAAATTCCATGAAAGCTGGTTGATAATCTTTAAACCAATTTTGTAATTGGGCGTAGGAGAAAGTGATCATATGCTTACCTTTTATTTTTTGTTTTTGACCATGAACAACCACAAGCAGTTCTAGAATTAAAATTGAATTCGAAAAGAAAAACAAAAAACCTAGGGTCATATTACTCATATCACAATAAAAGTTTTGGAGATTTGTGTGTATAATAAAGCCACCGGAAAAGTAATAGAGATGCATATTGAATCGAGCTTCTTAATGCAAAGTGCTTTCCTGCACTCTGAGATGACAAAGATGCATATTGCATCGAGCTTCTTACGTTTTGGGGATGGGCTGAGTAACAAAAAAATGACAGAGAAAGAGAGAATAGAAAAGGTGCCTGCCACTTGCAGTGGTATGTTTTTTATTTATTTATAAAATTACATCTTGATCGTGTAAATGATCCAACGGCCACGTTTTAAAAGTTCGGACAAGCTTTGTGTCCGGCACTTCGGAGGAGAGCATCACTCTATATCAATATATTCTTCGTATTTGTTGTTACAGAGTATTTTTTATAACATCATACGAAGTATTAAACAAAATATTGAAATGTGCTAATGTCCTTTTTTTGTCTTTTTATCTATTAACCGCTAAAAGCAAACTACTAAGTTACCAAACATTTTTCTGGAATCCGCCAAACTGATCCGCCGGTCAAACCCGCTGACTCAATCCGCTGTTTAGAACCCGTTGACTCAATCTGCTAACCGCTGATTGCCAAACAAGCCCAAAAAATGTGACTAAGATGATAGGTATACTAACTATTAATCTATTATAGCCAGGGGCGGCCCTGATAATTTCAAGGCCTAGGGGCAAATGGTTTATAATGGGCCTAATTTTAAAAAAATGTTAAAGAATATTTTTTGTCTAATGTGGCATAGCAATTATTATACTTCAAAATTGTACAATAAAGAAAAGACTTATAATTCTCTGTATTAAGCAAGTAAAATTGCAGTTAGAGAACATTTTTGTTACACCTTGAAATATATTATATTTATAAATTTAATTAAAATCCATATTTTTACTGAAGAAATTTTAAAACTATCACGGGATGATTTAATTTTATCATCAGTCAACCTTAAAACTCTAAAATCGCAACTCAAATCGGGCCGGAGAAAGTATAAATGTGAATTTGCGATTTCATGATCACTAAGTCAAAAATTTGGTGACTAATCAACGAAAATGTAAATTCATTGAAAACTAAAAAGGGTGAAAAGCTATGATAACTGATCTTGAAATAAGTAAGAGCATAAATGCAAAATATACAAGGACATAAGAGTAATAAAAGATATAGAGAACTCCAGGTTATTAGAAGTTAGAATCCTATATATATTCGGATTAGGAAGGATAAAAGGCTCAAGAAGTTGATGTATCAGCTATCTATGGCATGTTGAGTATTGATTGATGGAAGTTTATAATGAGGAATTAGAATATCGAGGTCTGAACTTTGAAGCACTGAGGGCCTAAATAACGGTTCAATGATAGGCACAAACCCAACAGAGAGTCCTGTCTTTTTTTAGAAAAATTGTTTACGCCATCAGAATTCTTTTCCCTATGCCGCATGAAGTTAGTGGATATAGCCTAAAAACTCAGCCTACTCACTCTTAGTCTT